GCAGCAGCAGAAGCAAGTCGCAGCACTGCTGCAGCAGCAGCCCATAAGCCTACTCACAGAGGAGCAATTGAAAGAGGCAGCACAGCTGTACTTGCAGCAGCGAATGGGGATACAGCAGCAGGTGACGCAGCAACAGGAGCAGCAGCAGCAGCAAGTGTACCAGCAGCAGCTGCTGGTGCAGCAGCAACAGCAACAGCAACAGCAACAGCAGCAGCTGTTGCTGCAGCAACCGTCATACGGTGCAGGAGCAACAACAAGCTTTGATAGTAGCAACCTGTCTCGGCTGCAACAGCAGCTGCAGCAGCAACAACTGCAGCAGCAGCAACTGCAGCAACAGCAGCTACAGCAACAGCAGCAACTGCATCAACAACAGCTACAGCACCAACAGCAGCAGCACCAAAGACTGCAGCAGCAGCAGCTGCAACAGCAGCAATTGCAACAGCAAGTGCAGCAGCAACAGCTGCTCCAGCAGCAACAGCTCTTTCAACAGCAACAGCTGCTGCAGCAACAGCAGCGTCAGCAACAGCAACTGGAGCAGCAACAGCAGCAGCAGCAGCAACAGCAGTCGTTCACATGGTCACAGCTGCCGTCTCAACAGCAGCAGCAGCCGCTGCAGCAACAGCAGCAGCAGCAGCAGCTGCTGCAGCGGTCGTCTGGTTCTGGTCTAGAGCAGCAGCGCAGCAGCACCACTGCAGGTGACAGCAGCAACCAGTGGGGCCTCCACCGCAGCGAGAGTCTGCTGCAGGCGCTGCAGGGGGCCCCCGGGGATTCCTCTGTATTACGCAGCAGCAAATTTGATGCTGTTGGTGAGCAGCAGGGGCAGCTGAAGGTGCAGGTGGGGAGACATGTAAAAAACAAAGAAAAAACAGGCAGAGACAGCGACAAGTATGCAAGAGATACACCACAGATAGGAAGAAGAGACTCATCATACACCTCAGCTGCTGCTGCTGCTCCTGCTGCTGCTCCTGTTGCTGCTGCTGCTGCTCCTGCTGCTGCTGCGGCCAATTCAAAGAGGGTGCAAAGCGATCAGACAAACAAAAAAAGCACATGGGGACTCTCCAGGAGAAAAAAAAAAAATAAGAATGACTAAAAGCACGTTGCTGCTGCTGCAGCTGCTGTTGCTGTTGCTGCTGCTGCTGCGGCTGCTGCTGCGGTGGTTGCTGCTGCTTCTGCTGCTGCTGCTGCTGCTGACGTGGTTGCCGGTACTGTAGCCCAACAAGCGCAGTTGTAAGGGGATTGATATTTCAAGGGTTTAGGGTTTAGCCCTAAACCCCTGAAACCCTAGACCCTAAACCACCCCTCCTGCAGCCAACCCACAAACCCTCTTCTTCATGCTTCCTCACCAGCGAAACATGTAAACCCTTGGGGGCCTCTCTTGGGGCCCCCGCGGCGGTGTTGTTAAGCAATGAACGGAGAGGGTACAGCTGCAGGGGGCCCCCAGGGGGCCCCCAAGCGCCTTTTGGGGCCCCCACAGACGCCTAGCAGGGGGGCCCCTGGCGGTCGAAGCAGACGCCACCAGCGACTCCTCTTTCTTTGCTCTTTAATTGCTCTTGCATGCAGTAGATGCTGCTGGGGCTGCTGCGCATGCACAGGGGGCTGCAGGAGCTGTAATGAGCTCCGTAAACCCTCAAACCACCAGTTAGGGTTTAGGGTTTGTTTGGGGGTCAGGGGGGGCTGCTTGTCATGCTGATTTGCTTTTTCACTGTTGTTGTTATTGTTTTTATTTTTTTGTACTTCATTTAACTTCTTCTGTATACACCCCATGAGAAGAAAACCCTAAAAAAAGGGATCAAGACGACCGAAAGAAACAACAGCCTGTAGAGTGACCAGGGGGCCCCATGTAAGGCTGGGGGGGGCCACCCCTGCTGCTGTATATTAGGCTGAGGTTTCAGTATGAGGAATGGTAAACAGGAGAAACACATTGAGCTTGTTCTTCTCCTCTTTAGTTTTTGTATGCCGTTCATATGCATGCAGGGCCCCGTTGCTCGCTTAGATATCCCCCGGGTTTGTTGCATTCAGGTGTGGTAGGGGTTGTATTTATTTTTTTTTTCTTTCTCTCTGCAGGTATATTGCTTAACAGTGCAGCAAATATTTCTGAGAGAAATCAATTAAAAACAGAGAAAAAGAAAAAATTTATATTTTTATTTGGTGCAGCAGCTGCAGCAGCTGCAACCGCAGCAGCTGATGCTGCAGCTACAGCTGAGAAACACTGCGGAGGGGCCCCAACGTGAGGCATGGTGGGCCCCCTTTCTGCATTTGTTTATGTATAGAAAACAGAGTTACGGCTGTTTCACATCGTTGTGGTGTACTGTATTATCTTTATGAATATCTAAGAAAGAGAAGAATAAAATAACAGATTAAGCTCCTCTTTAGCTGCTTTCCTTTTTGTTTGCTATGTTACAACGCTTTCAGTTGTAAGCAAATTCATATTTGTGAATAAATATGAATTGTATTCAACTGTATGGTCACACCTTCTCTTGTTTAATTGCATGCGTGCATAATTATACAGCTGTAATTATTACAGATATTAAATGAAAATGTTGTTAAACATTCAGAATGGAGAGTATTGAGCAAGCTGAACATACACATAGTTGAATTTGGATTCGTTTCACTTCGTTCTGCATCCTCTAACACCATACATCACCGCTAGAATACAGAGTAATGAATTAGCCTACTCTTTCTAGTCAAACTAGTCCTATGTACTAGTTTCTTATGTCTGATATACATACATATACTTTCCTTTTTTACATGCAGACTCGCCGCTGACGGCAAAGGAAGTGCTTAACAGTTGTATCGAGCGACACCACATCCATACAGAGGGGGTTATTCAGCATTTCGCCTGCAGCTCGGCCGCCTACAAGCAGAGTACAGCACCACCTGCTTCAACTCATGCAAATATCTCTAAACATCATCAACCTCCCCAGCTTCCCGCCCCCGCCCCCCCCCNCCCCCCCCCCCCCCCCCCCCCACCGTCTTCTTCCCCCCGCGTCCCCTGCGGTCCCCGCGGCCATTGCGTGCCGCTATGTGCCCCGTACGCCTAGAGACAGGGGTGGAGGTCTGAGCTGCAGTGTTTGAATTTGTGGTAGGGTGCCGTACATTAGAAATATATACTAATATAGGTCTTTATAAATTTAATTCTTTTAACTATATAACAGCTCGCGAAGGGCCAAAGGCTAAGAAGCAGGAGGAACAGTCGTTGCAGCTACACGAAACCCCTCGATCAAGGAGGTTGCTTAGTCCCTGTGTATATTCAGCATTTCTACCAATTAAACCTTAAGCACTGAAATAATCATTTATTATATTATTATACATAAAAGTTATAATATAAATAAAATTCAAGAGTTATATAGTGGTATGAGGCACACAAACACGAGATTCCATTCATGGATGTCTATGGGCCACCCCCCGTCAGCACGATACATGGTATTATGTGACGCTTACACAAAGAAAGACAAATTAACCCTAAATGGATGTAAAATAAGTTTAAATTCATCATTATTTTGTTTATAAGCAATGACTGTAATGAAAATTCATTGAGCGCAGGGGAGAAACGACAGAAGAGAAAGCCAGATGAAGGAACCGGTGCGGCATCGACGCGGGGACGGTGAAGGGTAACCGTTGCCGCTTACTTCTTTTCCTTCTGTTCTGCTATTACTAATTTGTTTTGGTTTTTAGAACGTAAAACCTTGTTATTTCAGCCTTCAATATGCATCATTCCATCTCGTTTGCGGTGGGCCTGGCTGCCCTCGTGGCGGGCGGAAACGAATTCTTGACAGGAGCGATGGCTTCGTTAGCGGCTTCAGAGATGACACAACTGCATGAGGAAATTCAGACGAAAAGAGAGAGAATTTATGTAGCCGAAGACAGAACCCTAAGAAGAAGATCCGCAGTCGCCATATTTACTCTTGCAATTGCTACACTTGCTGTGGCATTTCTCTTGATTAAGTGCTACAAGACCCTCAGTGCAACCAAAAACGAAGAAACCTACGGACCAGTTTCTCGTAGACTGGCAGAAGGCGGTGATCCATGCGATGTAAGCTTGCCATGTGCATCGAGTAACCCTTTCGTGCACAGCTGCGCGCTGCTGAGTTGAAATGATCCCGTTGCAAGCAGGAAAGGCAAAACATACATTACAGAAGGAGAAAGTTTCGAGTAACTCGAAGATGTGCTCAGCAAACACGAGACACCCGATGGGGTTTATACGGAGTTTCATGCTCTTGCTGAATGGCTAGCAGCGCAAAACATAGTGTGGGGGTGGTAGTCGAGCCATGTTGCTGAAGTGCCACTGAGTTATGTTTCCTATTTCAGGCATATTGCTTCTATTTACAGTTGATACTATGTACATTTTGATGGCTTCTTTTTTTGTTCCGCAGTGTGTAAACAGCAGTAAATACTGAACGTCGTCGTCGTCGTGCCATAGCGCATTAAAGGAGTTGCAAAGTGTTATTCACGCCTCTCCTGGGTTAAAAGCTGTTCATGAAGGTTTTGCTTGTGGCAGTATTTGTATTCTCTGGGGGCTGTTAAGCTGTAGCGAAAGGAAAAGAGGTGCATGCAGTCGGTTGTTGTTGTTGCTTACGCCGACGGGTAGCTGAACAAACAGGTTCCTCATCTACGGCTTACGAAGTTGGCGTTCGCCTTCTTCTTAAACGCTGGCTCTATGAGGGCGAGGAAGAGAGTGAATTGACGTAGCTGTTGTGACCGCTTCTGTTGGGCTGTCTGCCTCATTCAATATCTCAATTCAGTTATTCCTGAGTTGCGATGACCGGTAGCTCCGTGTGTTTCTGTCGTATGCGCGAACCATCTTGACCTGGTTCAGCCCTGTCTATCATCAAGCTTCATATGGAGGAGAATAATGGCATTTCCTCCCTTGAACGCGATCCTCACAGCTGGCGCAACGGGGTTTGTACCTCAAGTGCAGAAGCCAAGTAGCTTACTTGCAAAGTTCTCAGTTATTTGTATTTAACGCTTAGTTTTCTAGTGAGGGGCCCAAATGTTGGGTGGAATTGCAGCAGTAGCCAGTATTGTTAGTGCCGATTCATCAATGTGGAAATCATGCTTGAGCGCTCTTGAAGAGAAAGCGAACGTAGGCGTGTTGTTCCTGTGCATTGCTGTGCCACAAACAAGTTGTTGATATAATTAACGTGTATCATCGGGTTTTTATGAATTCTCGAGTACTTGCAAATAAAATACATGCAACACACGTTCAAGGTAATGGGCGATTGTCTCGCTGAGTAAATGAAGAGTCACAGAGCAAAGCGACTGCATGGCCTCCGAAATTTTGCACATCTTTACATCAACACAGCATTTCCACACATATTCTGCGTTTGATAGAAATGTGATTTGGTACTGGGCTGGCGAATGCATGGGGATCCCAACCCAGGTGTATCGAGCAGCCATGCGCTCACTGAGGGTGGTGAGAGGCAGACTTCTCAGATGCAAGTTCAAAAATATTTACACAAAGGTGCTCATTGCATTCATTGTGAGACGAAGATCTATCAGTCTGCGCTGTCAGTGCATCTCATACTGTACGCTAAACCTTTGATGCGTCGTGCCCAACAACTCTGGCTACATTTCGACTGTCTTCTCTTCTAGCAAGGATCCCTCTCGCTTGCCCAAAAAACGAAACTGGGAATAGCATTGGAAATCCAGTTCGCCGGATAGCTTCGTTATGCTCTGGCGTTCATAGGATCAGCAAGCGGGCAGACTCTAGTCTGTTTTAGAGCTGCATTGAGCCCCACACTTTGTCAAAATGCGCCGTTTTGCTGTGCTTCGGAGAAGGGTACATCTTAGTTGGTTGTTTGTTACTCCCCTGGGACTGAGAATGATGGCCAAGCGGGGATCACATTTTGTAACAAGTCCAGCTGGCTTCGCGGAGGCTGAGTGTGCACTGGAACTGTCACAGTGTTTGGCGTTCGCATCGTCTGTGCGCAAGAGCAGGGACATGAGTGGCAATGGACGGCGTGTTCGGGGATCAATAAACGGAAATGCACTTAGCATGTTTGGGGATCAATGAACAGAAATGCATTTCATTTCGATGGACTCACAGTTGCAAGCCTACGATTTGCTGCAACAAATACAACCTTATCTCAA